AGAAAGGGAAACTGGCTGCCCTTTGCAAAGATGGACGCTGTGGCTTCATTCAGGATAGGGAAGCTGCAGATGCCCTCTTTGCAAAGGGCAGCCTGGATTCCCTTAAGGCAGCAGCGGTGGGGAGTGGCAGCGGGGGTGGGTGGGGGGACAGGGGTGGTGTGTGTGTGTTTTTAGTAACCTCCCACGAATCAACAAATAAATTCATTATTCGTCGGTTTGTGGGGGCAACTTTGTGCTCCGTGAGTCGTCAAAAGTTGATTACTCATGAAGTACAAAGTTGCCCCCACGAAGCAGGATGACTCACCAAAGTGGTGAGTCGTCCCCATCTCTAATCCTGATATCTACATGTACCTCTAAAGCCACCATTTGCCTCTTCCCTCACCAAAACAAAGCAGTGTTGAAGCATGACACAAAATGTGTGGGGGCAACTTTGTGCTCCGTGAGTCGTCAAAAGTTGATTACTCATGAAGTACAAAGTTGCCCCCACGAAGCAGGATGACTCACCAAAGTGGTGAGTCGTCCCCATCTCTAATCCTGATATCTACATGTACCTCTAAAGCCACCATTTGCCTCTTCCCTCACCAAAACAAAGCAGTGTTGAAGCATGACACAAAATGGCAGGTGTTAATAAGCTAATTTTAAAATGCTGATTTTTCTTGAGACTGAAATATACTTTGGATTAGAAAGAATTGTCTCAGGAGCTACTTTGCTGAATAGCATTTTAATTCTAGAAAATACCAGGTCGCAATTTTTTAAAGGTGGCAAGAGATGCTGTTTATGAGATTTTTTGCAAGGAGATTCTCCCTTGTGTATACTGTAAATTTCTTTCTTGTCAATCTAGGTTGGGAACATTATTTTAAAATACAATTAGCCAGCGATTTAATCTTCTGATTTTGTGCACTACTCAGATAGTGTACTTACTGTGGGTTTTAACAACATGTATTCTTGTTATCGGCAACCAATTCTGATTTGTCTTTTCCTCCCTCCCTCCTTCCCTCTCCCCCTTTTTTATTTTGCATTTGTGATCAAAAGTCCAAGATAAGGAAACAAGGCTTGAAAGATGCCTCCTGGTGCTACCCAGACATGCTGCTATCTGATGAACATTCAGTGACCTGAACAAAATAAAAATGAAGTAATCTAAGATTAAAGCCAACATTTTACATAGATCTGCTAGGGCTTAATTCCACTCTTTCCTGGTATGCTTACTTATCTTGGTCAGATCTCCTTCCAGCATTGGCAATTTGTTTTTAAATTCAGAACATGGTAAATGTGGAACCAATGCTACTGTTTCAGATCTCAAAATGTGGTTTGTGATGTGCCGTTTGTGTGCAGAATTGAACAAAGCTACAAAGGCCTGCCTAGAAACACGAATGTGCATAAACTGCTCACAAAAGAGAAAGCACCCCAATCAAACTGCAGCTCATTTCAAGATCATTTTAATGATATCATTTTAAATTTTATTTCATAACAACTATAGCAATGTTACAACCACAGGAAGCATACCCTTCTTTTTAAACTGAAGGGATTTTCAGAATTATTCCAAGATGTTTTGCTGCCTGAAGCAAAGGAAAAGACCCATCCATGCACCCTGGCTCCACATATAGTTGTCAGCTGGACTAGCAAATTCATTTTATTGAAAGGCTGGCTGTGGAGAAACATCTTCTGAGGTTACACTTTTATCTAGGTGGCATAAGTAATAAAGGTACACAGATCCTAGTGGCGTAGCATGGGTTGTCAGCACCTGGGGCAAGACAAGTATTGCCCCCCATGTGTGGCCCATTAGCACTCCCTGAATCCCTTCCATTGGTCCAATACTGAACCCCTTAAGATCCCATGCAAAGAGGGGTGGCGGGTGGGGGAAGGCACAGAGCATAGCCACCTAGATTGGTCAATATGACCAGATAGGCGGGGTATAAATGGAATGAATGAATGAATGAATGAATGAATGAATGAATGAATGAATGAATGAATGAATGAATGAATGAATGAATGAATGAATGAATGAATGAATGAATGAATGAATGAATGAATGAATGAATGAATGAATGAATGAATGAATGAATGAATGAATGAATGAATGAATGAATGAATGAATGAATGAATGAATGAATGAATGAATGAATGAATGAATGAATGAATGAATGAATGAATGAATGAATGAATGAATGAATGAATGAATGAATGAATGAATGAATGAATGAATGAATGAATGAATGAATGAATGAATGAATAAATAAATAAATAAAATAGTTGGGTGGGTGGGCATGGGCCAATAAATGGGGTGGGGCAGTGAGGTTCTTCGCCCTACAGTGAAGATGCCTTGGCAAAAACAAAGGTGCGTGCAGAATTTCCCTTCCCCCTCCCCAAGCAGCCGTTCCATTCCCCTCTCTCTTTCTCATTCCCTCTCTCTCTCTTTTCCTTCTTTCTGTGAGAAACGAGTACTCATTTCTTCCCTAACCCTCTCCTCATTTCACGGGCAGGCATTTTTTCAGAGCTTTGGGAGGCAGAGTTTGAGAGAGCAAAAAAAAAGAGGTGGGCTTGAGGTGGGTAGGTGGGATGGGGTGGAAGAGAAAAGGGAAGGGGAGAGAGAAGAAAAAGGAAGAGAAGGAGCTGCATGCTGATCTTAAAGAGGCACCATACAGATAGGAAAAAGAAAGAAAAGAAACGCAGCAGTGAAACACGTGTGCAAACACACAAGCACACACACAGACACTGTATTGGGGGGATTCCAAGCATATGCTCTCACTGGGGTGTGTACTGCCTTTGTGTGTGTTTGTGTGGTGCCTCGTTCCTGCATCTGGTGTGGAGCCTGGATGCCTGTGCAAATGCAGCAGGCTCCCTCAAGGTGTCCATGTGCCTGTGTGTGGGTGTAGAGCGTCCTCCACTTCCTTTCCACTGTGGAGTGCTCCTAGGAATTTTGTGCCCAGGGCAACCGCCTCTATGCCCCCACCACTATGCCACTAACAGACCCTCAGAGAGCTCAGATGAGACCCAGGGCATTTTCTCATTGTGAGGCCCCCTCACTGTTTGGGAAGAGGAGCGTTTTGGAGTAAAAAATATTTGGTGAATATTATTCTATTAACTTGTAGAATTCATGATAGAATAATTTAAAAATGAAAGACCATGCTTTTGTAACACTTTAGGTTCTATGGGGCTGCTTGTTTACTTAGATATCTATTGATGAACCTTGCAAACACAATTTCACAAAATGAGTCTCTTTTATTGACAGTTATATAACAGACAACATAAGCAATTATAGCAACAACAAATGCTGCAATTTGCACACACAAGTCCTTGGAAAGAGCACCAACACAGAAGTTGCTTGTAGAATTGCAAAGTTCAAGTGCCCTTTGATTTCACATTCAGACAAAAATTCAAGATATCTCCATCAACTAGGCTGGGTATCCATAACATAGAAGAACCGTCTCCACATGTAGAATCTTCCAAACCCTAGAATAACATTATCAATTCAATTGCATGTACATGAATTCACTATATGGATTCACTCTTCCAGCACACACATATACAAATTATACCTAGACCAAGTTGGCAAGTGCTTAACAGTCTAAGTGGCAAGAGGAGCTCTGGCCTCTTCAGCTCTTCTGCTCTATCTGATCCAAATCTCTTGTATCAACTCTGTTGCACGTACATGAATTCATATATGGACTCACTCTTCCAGCACAAACGTATACAAATTATACCTAGACCAAGTTGGCGAGTGCTTAACAGTCTAAGTGGCAAGAGAAGTTCTGGCCTCTTCTGCTCTATCTGATCCAAATCTCTTACTCACAGCCCCACTCTTTCTTAGTTTACCCCTTTGGGCTGAACCAAATTTCATAGGGATTACATCCTATTGGCTGAAGTGAGTCCCATCCTATGAAGTGAGGCCCAGATCAAATGTCCTGCTGCTCCCTTCCCATAGGACATGTGCAGAACTGCCTAGAGGGAATGGGCTAAGGAATGAAGAAAAACTTACTGAAGGAAAGATTGCCACAACTCTCATCCCAGCTCACTTCCATGGAGATGTAGTAGGCCAGTGGGTTACATTGACATTTGATTACGTAACTTTTTGGTCTGATCCAACAGGATTCTCTCTGTGTTCTTCTCAAGCAGAGCTTGGGAAATGTTACATTTAAAAGACTACAGGTCCTAGATTATCCTGCCAACGTGGCCCTTATTAAACATGGTAGCCCCCCCGAAATATATATATATATTCTCAAACTCTGATCTAAAAGAGCAATTCTACCATTTTGGCAAGACTTCAAACTGCCTCTGATTACCAGCATTAGGCAGTAACCAAACACCACAGTTAAGTTTCATACTTCTTGTTGTGTGTTTATTATTTCCTTCCCTATCCAAGCAGCTGCCTCCTGGAAAGAGGGTTCACACAACAGAAGGGTGTTGGTGGTGGGTGGTACCACTGGACTTTGAGCCTGAGGCAACAAGATCAAAACAAAAATAAATCATAGCCCTTTCATCAATATGCTTGCTTTTTAAGAAATATATATGCAAGGCCGTTCACCACAGGGAAACATTTAGCCACCTGATTTCTCACTTGCACTGTGCAGTGGTATACTGTGATACCAGTTTTGATACCTGAGCAGATGACTGTGTGAATGATTGTCTCCTTCTCTTCCTCTTTTAAAATATTCTAGGCAAGAAGTTCTTTCTGGCAGCTTTTTTTAACATGGCAAGGTAGTCAGATTTTTATATGTCTGCAATAAATCAATACTTTAAGTAGATATACTGCTTCAAAGCTCCTATCTTCATCACAAAATAGCATTGGTCATTCCTGTTTTCCCATAAGAGTGAAGATTGAAAAATATAAAAACTGACCTTTTCCCTTGAACATACCTTCTGTTGGGATTACAACTCATTTTTCTGACAGGAAGAATTTTCAGCAGGCAATTTTTCAATCACCCTCACTCACCCACTTTCCTATGTGCTTATTAGCATGTTGTGATAAGAAGGATGGTAACTGCCTTAGACATCTTTCCCTAATATCCACTGAGTTAGTGTCTTAAATTTCACAAGCAGTGAAATGGTCCCGTAAAAACCAGAATGGATGCATCTGTTTTTCTTTGCTTTAAAGTTCACTTAGCTCAAGGTGTCCTGTTCCGTTTGTCTTAGTGTGTGAATGGTTTTTCAAAGTCTCCATAAAAATTGTGTGTATTTCTGTATGCATTTTCTAATAAATAGAATTCTGCAAGCAATTTCTCCCAATCTTTGCCTTCGTTATCTCTTTTTTCCCCTTAATGTATTCAGCCCTTCATGTAGGCATTTCTGACAAAATTACATCACAAAGTCAGGGAAGTGCAACCCCCCCCCAAAAAAGGATAATGTGTGATTGTCGCGACTGCCACCTCCTCCTACGTCACCACAAGAGATGACAGGCCACGATCCTATACACACACACAGTACTTCACTGCCACCAACCACACATAAACCTGACACTTCAGACTTTGTATGGATTTTAAAATAAAAAGGATGATTTATTGAGTACAAACTTAAGATGGGAATCAATGAGTAAATGAATCACTTATCAAACTATATTTCTCAGACCTTAACCCTGCACAGTTCTTTGTTACCTAACACACAGTTACTTAATCTCCTAACGTATATCTAACCCTGTCACTCTCCAACTCTCTAATTCCCCAACAACAACCTCATCCCTCTTTGCACACCCCCCTTATATACACTAACTCCACCCCTTTAAGACCCACCTCCTGCCCTGCCATAGGCCAGGAAACTCCAGCCTTGGCCAAGACAGGCAGGTGACGTCATGGCACACGTCACAGTGATCATTCATTCATTAGTTCCAGAAGTGCAGATGAGGTCATTTTGCATTAAAATGCAACTCTAACAAATTTCTTTCTCTTTTCTTCTGTAAGAGGGCATTGAGCACTACACATTAAAGGCCACTTTCACAAGTGACCCTTAAGCAGACCAGGAGAATCTGCGTTCCATTTTATACAGCTGAAATTTGGATCTGAAATCCTGCCGTTTCTTAAATATGTAATGATCTTTTATTAGTCTTCATTCTTGGTTCATTGTTTTGATTATTTTAGCTGCTTGGAATGCCTTTGACAAATGAGAGGATGGGTGAGGGATCTACAACAGTTTCTATGCATAGGTGAATGAAAGAGGAAGTATTGTCATTTAAATTAAAACAGTCTTTTCCCCAGTTTATAGCATATCTTAACAGTGGCCACAATTATATGAATTTTTCATGCCAGGGTAAGTCAAATAGTGTAAATCAAACTGCTACTGATTAAGAAGTTCAGGCTTGTATTCCTCATCATATGCCAAGTCATACAACTGGTATGTGACAAGGAATACAAGCCTTGACTTTTTAACCAGTGGCAACATTATCATCATCCTCATTATCTTAGAACTGCAAAGCTGGAAGGGGCTTGCCACTGCAATTTACAGGATTTGAGTTATGCAGTATGTTTAAAATAATAAGATTCTGAGCGGTGTTTACAAATGACTCTAGTACATAGGATTACTTACCAAAACACATAATTAGATTGTATAACTTTCCATCAAACATAGCCTTGTGGTGCAGTGGTTAAACTGCAGTATTGCAGACAAGACTCTGCTCACAATCTGGGTTCTATCTCGCTTGGCTCAGGTAGCCAAGCTGAGGTTGACTCAGCCTTTCATCCTTCTGAGGTTGGTAAATTCAGTGCCCAGCTTACGGGCGGGGTGTGCGTGAAGCAATGCGTAGCTTGTATAATTAAATTGTAAAGCACCCAGAGAGTGCTTTAAGCTCTATGGGGCAATATATAAACACATTTATACTTGTGACCTATTATACAATAGAAGTGTAATACAAATAAAATCCTTGTCATTCCAAACCCACTGGCCAGCCTTACAATCTCTTCTTTTCTTGCAGGCTGCGTGGTTCCTACTCCAATCTGCACTGGGGCTACCTTTCAGAGGCTTTAGTGGACTTCACTGGTGGAGTCCAGCTGGATTTCAACCTTCAAAGGCCCCAGATGTTTCTATATGAGATGCTGAAAACAGCTGCTATGTCAGGCTCTGTTATGGGATGCACTACTCCTGGAGCCGTTCAGTCAAAGGTTTGTTTGTTTTTATATTACTGTAAGTAAATGCCAGTCTCCTTGAAGGTGTTACTGCTGAAACATCCCTCTCTCAATGTGCACCACAGGGGCACAGAATGGGAGATTTGCTGGTAGTCATAAATTACATGGGGGTTCACATGGATGGAGAAAGAACAAATTAGACGAGACTGTGCTATAATATAATATATTGACTGAAATATCATCCTTAAGCCACATAAGTCTGATGACAGGAATTTTAAAGGTCTTTTATTTTTTGAGGAATTAAGAGTCTGAGAGGATCATTTGCATTCCAAAGAAGTCTCTTTTGGCTGCCGGATCTGTGGGGGCAGCCTTTATTTTTCAGACATTGCCACCACTGAGAAAATCATCCCAGCAGAAGCCATTTTCAGAAATTAAGTACTTCCCCTTGTCCCGCAGCTCCGCAAGGCATCCTCAGGGTGAAAATATCCCAAGGGAGCCTTAGAGAATTACAAAAATTTAGTTCTTGAAAAAGTCTGTGGTTGATGATGTCAGTAGCCTTATGAAGCACAATAGGATTTCAGCTAATCTAATTTGTAATTTATAATTGCATAACATAGCTGTAGCAATCTCCTCTGAAGCCTCTATTCCCCCAGGCCTTCACAAGGTTCTCGCTCTTCTTCCTTCTTCGCTGCCACCAATTCTCTTCAGATTCTCTTCTCACTCACTGAACTGCTCTCATACTCCATGCACCAGCCTTTATATCCAAACCCCTCCCCCTTTGGTACCGCCTTCCGTCCACTCATTGGCTCCTTCTCCACTGCTCAGCTGTGACGGACAGGTGAGGGCAGGGCTGTTCGCTACAATAGCTATATTCTATCCTGTACTTCACATAGATTTTCAGAGTGATTTAACTTTGTTGAATCAAAAAAGCAGAGAAGAGCAAAAAGTAGTCACAGTCTTGGTAATTGCACAGAGCAAGAGGAGCTGCTATTGGATTCTATCGCTCCTGCTAAGGTTGTCAGGTCAGCAGCATCGTATTCCATATTTCAGGACCGAAAACCTTTGTAATGTCATTGAGCAGATCCTTCAGCAACAATTATAGACTGTGATATGTGAGGCATAAATTCATCATTGTGTTGCTATAGATAATATGGGGGAAATGGTGGCTTTAAAGGCCAAACAAGGCTTGCTACAAGGGTCTCTGCCTACCAGAGTCTCTTGGGAAAGATTTATAGGCTGAAAGGCACAATGCACAGTGAGAAGGAAGTAAATTATTCAAAAGAAAAACAGCATTGTTTTCTAAACCAAGAGTAAGAGCAAATCGAGATTTACGACATATTTGGGTGATCTGTTTGTATCTCAGGATGAACCCAAAACCAGATCAGGGTTGGTGGCTCAACAACATCTCATTTCCAAAACTGGAGACCCAGAGAGTGATCCCCAAATGCTGAATCTCAATGGCAAGGCCTGAGACAGGCAACCCTCCCTCCCAGCTTCTCTGGTTAACATGGAGGTTTTTGCAGTGGCCCAACCCAAGATCTCTGAGCGACCCTACAATGCCCCAGATACTGACTGAAAGATAACTGTGCCTTTGAGCACACTGAACTCATGTCCCTTCCACTTCTTGAAGTATGTTGCTTATTAGTTATTCAGTTACATGTATAACCTGCCATCCTGAGGGGCACATAAGATCACAGCCATTCCCACTTTGAATCCAAACAATGAAGGGCTTCAGAAATCAAAGCAAGCCTTCTGAAGTAGGCCAAGAGAATGTGTGGGCATCCCCCCCAAGTAGTGAAGATCAGAATATTAGTAAGGTTGAAGTATTGGTGGTAGGTGGATTATTTGGAATGAGGATTGTCCTCTGAAAGATGGGGTTTGTCATTTAGAGATGCTTCATTCTTTGACAGGGGTACGCTCTTATGTAGTTTACGATGCACTTTTGTTAGATGGCAATGGTGACAAGGAGCACTTTTTTTCCAGCATCAGCTGCTTCACATCTATGATCTTTCTCAACAAATGAAGAACATGCCACAGTCATTCAAATACTAGTTACCTACAGATTACTGCTGGAAAATGATTACAGTGAAAATCCCGCCCTTGCAATTTGTCTAGAAAATGCAATCAATGCATATTAGATTGCTAGACCTGGCATAATTGAATTGCACTGGCTACTGGTTTGTTTCCCAAATACAATTCAGAGCACTGATGTCCTTTCAAGTCTTAAATGAATTCAGACTTGGCTAAATAAGATTCTCCATTGTGTGAATGGGGCCACCACAATCCATTTTGCTACCTGAGGCAAGACCCAAGATGGTGTCCGTCTCATTCTAATTCCCAAACTCAATGGTGCTGGCAGCTGAACTTAGCAGTCACACAGCATCCTCCACTAGTCCCAGAGGCAGCAGCATAGCTTAGAAAGTTCAGGGCAAGTTTCATGGCACATAGCTCTCTCCGCCAACATATCTCTTCTCCTTGAATCCGCCATCAGAGACAACCATTCTGCATATTTAATGGAGGGACAGCCTGCCTGTGCAGCTCTGATGACTAGAGTCCTCCCTGGGTTGGAGACCAGTTTTTGCCCCTGGTACTGTACTTGTGAGATGGCAAAAAAGTCTTACTAACCCTTCAGATACATGGTGGCGCTGCGGGCTAATCCGCAGAAGCCTGTGCTGCAGGGTCAGAAGACCAAGCAGTTGTAAGATCGAATCCACATGACGGAGGGAGTGCCCGTCGCTTGTCCCAGCTCCCGCCAACCTAGTGGTTCGAAAGCATGCAAATGCAAGTAGATAAATAGGGACCCCCTCGGTGGGAAGGTAACAGCGTTCTGTGTCTAAGTCGCACTGGCCATGTGACCACGGAAGCTTGTCTTCGGACAAAACGCTGGCTCTATGGCTTGGAAATGGGGATGAGCACTGCCCCCTAGAGTCGAACACGACTGGACAAAAATTGTCAAGGGGAACCTTTACCTTTACCTTTTAACCCTTCAGATGGGAAGTTATTCATTTAAATGTTGCTGACTTTGTTTGCCAACTTGATTTTCTTCTCTGGAAAATAGATGGGATAAAAGCTTTTCAGAGAGACAGATAACACCTTTTTGCAGTCAGCCAAGAATCTCATCCACCTTCAGGCTACAGCAAATATCAAACTCATTGAACAATTTGACTCAAAGACAGCTCAAATTCAGTATTCAGTTGGATGCAAGCATCCTAACCTCCATGGATCTTCAGGCTTCAGTGCTGTCCTTATGCTCCAAGTGAAGTGTCACATAACCTTTCCAAATCAATCTGGAAGCTAGGGAGTATGTTTCTCCTCCTCCACCACCAGAACTTTGGAGGTGGACATGGGACATTAACTCACTGGTCAGAATGTTGCTTTTCTTCTGTTCTGGTGCTGCTATCAGATGGCTCCAAAAACCTTCACAGATTTCTAGCTGAGAACTCTCACAGACACATAGAAACAAGAAAATAGGTGTATATTAGCATCCTCAGGCATGTGCTGGCTTTGTGCCCACTCCCTGACAACATTCTACCTACAGAAGTCAAATGGTCTAGCAGTTGACAATGGTGTTGAGGCTGGTTGCCTGGAACATTCACCCCTGTCCTCTTCTATACTGAAAAGAACACCAAATAGTATCTCACTGCCTCTGTCACATCATCCAGCTTCTTCTGTCTGAGGTTTAGATTGCTGTCCTCTGCAAGGTTTTAGAATGTGGGCCTGAAATCTCAGGGAATGGAGAGGTTGACAACCTGGCAAACCTAGATTTTGGGGTTTATTCTCATGGCTTTGGGACATGCTTAAGTATATTTGTGGCTCAGCTCCTGCCATTACAAATGGTCATTTTCCCTCCCTCATACCAAACAAAGCACACAATGGTTTGATCAAATGTAAATGTATTTTGAAAGTGCTTTTACAGAAGCTAATATCATTCTTTCTCTATCCAGAATTCTCCTACTAACGTGGTGTTGAAGAATGGAATTGTCCAAGGTCATGCTTACACCATCGTATGGGCCACAGAGGTAAAAAAAGAAAAGAGTTTTTGTTCTTTCTTTTTTATATATAATCTTTTTCTATCCTAATCAGCAGCTGGCCTGCTGCTCTCTTTCTCTATTTTCATAGATTCATTGCTTTTAGGACCCGAAGGTAACATAGTGCTGATCTAATCTAGGTTTTCCTGCATCACTGAGAACACATAATTTAATTCCTGCCTTCCTAAAATGTCTGAAACTCAGGCATTTTGTAGAGAAGCAAAAGGATGATGAAGTTAGCAAGGTGGCACTCTCAGCTAGTTGTTTCTAAGTGAAGTATCGGGAAATATTAAGAGCGATGAAAATCTGACATCATAATTTACACTCACTAGTTCGGTCCACGTTGCTGAAGAAGATAACTCACTGGGAGAAAAGAGGCAGCCATGTTTTAAGAGCCGCCTAGAGTGGTCTTAATTGACTAGATAGGCGGGATATAAATAAAACAAATAAAAATAAAATAATAAAATATTAAGAGACCAAAACAAATTAACTGAATGGAGACTTCTGTAGGATTGGCATGTGGAATTAATGTAATTCAGAAGTATAAAGTCCTGATTCAGCATCAAAACTGATCACATTAAATGTAAGGAGGACAGAGATGGGAAGCACTGCTTTTGGGGATTAAAGTTCCCAGATTATTCCAGTTAGCATAGCTACTGGTCATACTGGGTTCAGATATTATGGGAGTTCTAATCCAAAAGGAAGGAAGGAAGGAAGGAAGGGTTTTCTTCTTCCCGAGGGTGCCTATTGATGTTTTTGGGGATCTTTCTCAGCATAAGAAGGTGTTGGGACTTGGTTTTCAACTAGCAGAGTTCATGGTTGTCAATGTAAGTAATGATTTTGAGATATTAGAGGTGACTTTATGAAACAGAATGGGTCAACGCATTTGGGAAAGGAAGAAGAAGAACCTGTCAAGAGGACACAGCTGCTGTGACACAACTCACAAGCCCTACTAACCAAAAAACAAGAAAGACCTATCTGACAATGAAAAAGTCTCACAAGATTTGCTGAAAAAGGCAAGACAGAATCCCCATTCAGATCCTCATTTGCTGATGCAAATTTACATCCTACTAGAGCAGAATGGGCAAAATATTGCCCTCCGGATATTGTTGGACTGGAAATCCCAACATCCTTCACCATTGGCTATGCCTACTTGGGTCGATGCAAGCTGCAGTCCAACAACATCTTGAGTGTGTTGCTTTGCTCAATGCTAGATTAAATACTTCACTACCACATGTATCTATGTGGTAGTGCATTCATGTCCATGTATTGTAGATTGTCAGCTTGTAGCCAACATGATAAGCACCTGCTGTTGCCAGGACATAAAAGCCCTAGCAGCAAAGGACAGTAAAAGAGGCTACATATTTTCACCCCTCTTTTCATCACAAAAGCTCAGCCATAACAGCGACTTTTATTCCTAGAACAAGACTGACTTAGAAAGCCATATTGTGAAATCTAGTTGTGAGGCCCCCAGGTGGGAGTGAGCTTCACTTATTACTTGGAGTCAAGTGTTGAAGACAGAACTTCGGGGAAGAGGGTCACCTTTTTTTTTCCGGAGTACATGTCCCAGATTACCTGGTGGCTTTGACTGATTTTGAGCTTCGGGGGCCATAGTCTGTATTGAGCAGGGGGTTGGATTTGATGGCCTTATAGGCCCCATCCAACTTCACTATTCCATGATTCTACGATAGTTGAATAAATATCTTGAGTTCTGCTTATAACTCCTAGGGCACTGAGTGAGTATTCAATGAGGCTACACAGGGCAGTGATACCTCCCTGTTGACCCTAGCTCTGATGTCACACAGTGACTTCCCCTAGTCATGACCTGATGTCTATATGGACATACTTTGCTGCCCAGAGTAGACCTTTGGTCTAGATGGGCGGGTAGAAGTCCAATAAAATAAATAAATGTTTGTTTTTTGCTTTATTTTCTTAATGGTCTAATAAAGGTATCACCTTTATTAGACCATTAGACCTGCATTTGTATTGTTTTGAACACCATGCAACCTTGTCCGGATTTTTTATGGACATATAAAGGTTCCCCTTGACATTTTTAGTCCAGTCGTGTCCGACTCTAGGGGGCGGCGCTCATCCCGCTTTTCAAGCCATAGAGCCAGCACCTGTCCGAAGACAGTTTCCGTTATCACGTGGCCAGCGTGACTAGGGAACGCCGTTTTACCTTCCCATCGAGGTGGTACCTATTTATCTACTCACATTTACATGCTTTTGAACTGCTAGGTTGGCGAGGAGCTGGGACAAAGTGACAGGAGCTCACTCCGTCGCGTGGATTCGATCTTACGACTGCTGGTCTTCTGACCCTGCAGCACAGGCTTCTGCGGTTTAGCCCACAGTACCACCACGTCCCTTTATGGACATATAACTTTCCCTGGTTCTCTGACTTAATAGTCTTTTAGTCCAGAAGCCTGCATAAAGACAGCAGTATTTTTGCTCTGCTGTAAATCATGCTGAAGACATGGACTATGGCAGGTGAGCGTAAGGGGAACTGTATGACCTTAGGGTGGAGCCAGCCACAATATCCTGGTGCCCTTTGGTCACATAAGCATTTGAAGTGTGAATGATGCTAAGACAGCATTCACATCGTGCACCACAGGCAATAGCTGAGGGTGAGGACCATAGGAGTTGAGAAAGAACCCAGCATTGTTCACATGTGCACTAGCTTTCCTAGAAGCAATTGTTTCCTCCTTAACATGGCAACTTCTTTTTAATAGTAGTAAACTATCCATGACTCAAAATGTTCTTTGTTTGAAGTGAGGGTCAGTAGGATTGTATTTACCACAAAGAAGGATAAAGCTTCATGAAGTGAGAAATACAGACAGCTGCACAGAAAGATGGTGGCTATATTATGCAACATAAGCTTAAGGTGCCAGTTACTGCTGTGTACACTGAAGTGCAGGGTTACGAGTTCAGAAATGGATGGAGTTGTTTTCTTTAGCCAGGAAACCTATCCTACTCTTGCTCACATATTAATATCATCTGCTGAAGGAAAGAAATAAGACAGCAATCAGAAAAGAAAGCATAGGATTTACTGCGGTAAAGTGGTTTTGCTTTCAGAGCGAGAGTGGGAGCATTCATTCTTCCAGAACTATCACTTATGATGCTCCTATCCACAATGGCCAAAGGAAAAAAAAAAGGCCAGGGAGGACAATGACCTTCACTAATCCTCCAGCATTTATTCTTTCAGCAGCACCAAAATGTCTCACTAATATAGGATATACACTAGCGAACCAAAGCACTCCACAAATAGAGGTCTTTGTGGCAGAAATCCACCTTATCATTCAAACAGAAAGCAAGGCCATTACTCCTACAGTACAATGGATTGTGATCTCAAAACCAGGGCTGGCCCAGCTGTTGCCTTAGGCAATGGAAAACTGGGCAATCTAGGAAATTGAAATAGCAGCTTCATTGCTCCAGCACTAGGAACCCAGCAGCGACCCAAGAGTGCCAGGTACTGATGTAGGGTATGTCTCTTGGATCCTTAAGCTAAATATGCCTCAGATCCTACACAACCACCTAGAGTGGTCTTAAGTGACTAGATGGGCGGGATATTAAATAAATAAATAAATAAATGAATGAATGAATGAATGAATGAATGAATGAATGAATGAATGAATGAATGAATGAATAAAT